CACAGAGTGCTGTCCTCTGAAGATGCCGGCCACAGAGACTGGCAAAACGTTAGGAAGAACAACCTTCAGAACACGGCCAAAGAGCCTGAAAAACCCGCAACAACCAATGGCAAACATTGTCACATTATCATTATCTAACAAGGATTAAGGTCCTTCCAATCAAAGGACTCCCAGAATTACCAGACAGAAGGGTTTGTACAGGTATTCCACTTTTTCCTCTATCAGTCACTTTTTATGGAAAGAAAAATAAAGATAGAAACAGAAGTGAAAAAAGTGAAAGCACTAGAAGTAGAAAACAACATCATCTTGTAAAATTCCATGGAACAAGGCAGGGCAACCACACATTGAAAGTCTCATCTGTGAATTTAACAGTTCACAGTAACAATTTAATGGTTGGAAGTAATTATTAATCTCTTGGCAAGGTCAAAGGATAATAACTTCTTGTCATACTCAGTCAACTGGAATTAATCTAAGATTTATACTGCCACCTCTTTCAGCTGCCCCCAGAATGACCTAGAAAAAGTTACAGTACTTCTTTTGGGTGACAACATTCCAAGTTTCCCTAGCCAGCATGGCCATGACTCAGTCCAAAAACTAAACTGCAGTCCAAAAACAGAACTGTGTAGGCTAGACATTCACCTCCCCCAGGCTGTCCATCATGCATACCATCAGAAACATACACTTTATTTCTATCAGTGGCTGAAATTCAGTAGTAGGTTCCAACTAGTGTTGGCCCATTCAAGCAATGGAAAGTACAGAGAAGTTGACTCATGAAATCCCTACTGATTCAATGGGCCTAGTCTAGTTGCAACTTACAACTGGATTTCAGTCAACTAGCAATAACAAAATTCCGCACATTAAAATATGCAAAACCTTTTGTAGGCACTCCAATCCAGTTGAGGTAGCGAGTTAGTTTCTTGGATACATAAGTCTTGCCTCTTGCAGGAAGGCCAATCATTACAATCAGAGTAGGAGAATTAGTCATATAGGAGGCCCATGCTGTAAAGAAAGTAGAGACAAAAAAAAAACAAAAACAACCAGTTGTTTCCACAAGATGGAGAAAAGAAATATGACTCCCCCTCTCTGCCTCTCAAGCTGAGTATATCATTCAAAGGTAAAAATATTTCCTAATTAAGCTGCAGTCTTCTCAAGGTTAGGAGGACAATGTTATATTCAAGGATCCCTTCTGAGAACACAAATCAAGTCAGGCTCCCCTCAGAACATACTGTACACAGAGATGTGAAAAACCTAACCAGACACTTATTTCTTTCTGTTCAGAGATGTGGAACTTACTAATATTTGTTCCCAAGCTTGTCATAGAGAAAGCTGCATGTGATGTAAGCTTTACTATTGTTCTGTAAGACACAAGACACTGTATCCTTTCAGTGAAATAATACTTTGTGATTGCTGACAAGAGATCTGTACTTGGTTTATGTCAACTGTGGCTGTGATTGGATGCCAAGGTTTAGCAAATGCTGGGAAATTGACAGATACTATTTCAAGAAATCTCAGCCCCCATAAGAATCAATGCCAAGATTCTCAAGTAAGAGTTGGGGATTTTTTTAAAAATGTATTGATTGATTGATGTTACAGGTGGTACTCCTTTTGGGAATCCCCTGTTGGGGGATGTTGCAGTGAGGGGAGTAGGGTTGCAAGCTGACACAGGGTTGTAGAATTGACCGGCCACTCCTTTTCTTCTTGATACCCTCTTCTTTCGTTTCCTCTACCTCTTCCTTCTCATTTAGAGGCCAGTCAGAGAAGGGACAAAATAATCTTGCCAGAAGTCAGAGCTAATTGCTTGCAGAAAACCTTTGAAAATCAGCCAAGGGTTTCAGATTGCCATCGCCTGTTGTAAAGGATCCAGGATTAAGCCTGTATTTGTCAGCATCTTATGGGTATCGTATGGCAAAACCCATCTTTGCCAGGTATCATGCAAGAGAAACCAGAAACTGCTTCATTGTAGATTTACCTAAAATTAATTTGGATCTTTTAGAAATGAGTTTATCTCCTAAAGCCTACTCATTTAACTAAGGAGATCAATTCTTTTCTCAAATGCAAGTCACTAATAATTTCACAAGGTTTCCCAAGGTTAAAGAAAGTAGGTTGTAGTAAAAAAAAAGAAGGCAGAGAAGGAGGGTTTGCCCTTGTAGAGAAGGACTTTCAAGCTATTTACAAAGAAAAGAAAGATGCCCTCGTGCTTCCTAGCAGTTATAGTCTTGCTGTCAATTACTTTCTATGGAGATCGTCTTCCAAGGAATTATGACTGCCAGGAAGCACACATAGCTTTCTCTTGTTTTACAAAGCAACCACAGGAAGGAAGGTCATAGAAGGCAATGGTGCAGATAAATAACTTCAAAGACCTTCTCTGGGGATAGGGTGACCTACAGGTGTACAGATTTGGGGTTATGGGCTGCACTTCTCAGAATTCTTGGAGAATTCTAGGAACTGCAGTCTTTATTTTACAGTATTACTGTATATTGTTTTTACTGTTATGTATTATTGTTAGCCGCGTAGAGTAGACTTTGGTTTAGACAGGCGGGGTATAAATTGAATAAACAAATAAACAAACAAACAAAAACCACAAAAGTAAGTATTTATTTATGGTTGTTAACCCAATCTTACATAATACTAAAAGATATAACACAATAAAAACTTATAAAGATATATTAGTAAAATAGATACACCGTTTACATAATAAAACCATTTATAAAACACACACACAAAAGAATACACACCTATTTGGGCCTCTCTTTGTGGGCACGGTTGTGAGGATTTCCATGATGAGCTCCTTTACTTCATCATTTGCCCATATGTCACTGAGAAATGGCCTTAAGTCAAGCACTACATTAGCACGACTTAACAAAACTAGTGGCTAACTGCACATTGACAGGTGAGGTGCATGTTTCCTTACCTTATTGAAAAACAAAAAGCCACTGCGGAGGACTGCTAGCCTGAGCTGACAAACTAAGGGGAGGAGAAAGCCATTTAACAATTTCTCGTCTTGTTTTTGACATTTCCTCAGAACTGGCTTTCCTAAACTGGTTTCCCAACCTATGGGAGAGAAATCCCCACCCACCTCTGCTTCCTATGGCAGCAACTTTTGTGGGTACCTTCCTCAAAAGATTAAGAAATTTACTGTATCACTCTTTTTTGTAACTCAGCCTATCAGCTTCTAATAGCTAAGTCCCCTGCTAAGACTTTTTAAAGATTTCCTGTGTAGTGTCTAGTTAAACCTCTATTCTTAAAAAAAAGGGATGTCTCTACAATTAAAAGAAGCCAGTGCTATGGCAAATATTCAAGAAATAGATAAGAAAAATGCTATGCAACTGAAATAAAATTATACCAGTACAATGTTGCAAAAACATGTTGAAACAGGAATACTGCAGAGGTTTAACACCATAGCCACAAAAGTAATATAAAATCTTGATATTTTATATTAACCTGTGATGGACCCTACCAATCAATATAGGGTGGTCACCAGATTGCACACAGCAGAGGTGTGCATATGCTTTAAAATGTATTGGATGAAAATAACAGTACTGACCTACAGTACTGGAATTCACATTAATTTCCTCTCCTCACTCCCCCTCAAAGGAATCTAGAACAAATAACAAGTACTGAAGAATATAGGTCAAAGGATCCTGCTACTGAAGCTGTTTCATTATCAGTAAAGTACTGTATGACCCCTTCTCCCAGTTTAGAATGTCCCCTAAGAGCTACGTAGGATATCACAGCACATAGCAAGGGTTTTGGTAGATATCTTAAAATCACACAACTTTTTGAAGTGCAGAAGAGCTTTTCCGTTCTAACCAAAATGGAGCTGCAGAAACAGATGTGTTACACAATACTGCTATGTGATAATTCCTTCATATGGCTCATTCTATAAGGAGAATTTTTTAAAATACTTCTATCCAAAGCTGATTTTGTACATTAATCCCAACATTCGTGCTCATGGAAACATGCATGATTCTCTCTACCCAACTCTATCCCCCAGTTTTGTGTTTTTTCATGCTTAGAAGCACTCTATGAAATAGTCAAAAACCAACCACTGAGTTTTATAGCAAGAGAAAAATTTGAATCAAGGTCTTCATCATCATCATCATCATCATCATCATCATCATAGAATTGCTGAGCTGGAAGGGACCCTATGGATCGTCCAGCCCTATCAACGAGGCACTGTGAGAAATTGCACTCCCAACCAGATGCCTAAACCACTGAGCTATCCAGCAGTTCCTCTAACCCATCATTCAGTCTCATAACATTGTTAGATTATCCAGGGAGGAAATTCCGTTTAATATTGTCATCAAACTAAGGGGAAAAATACTTTGAGTTTCTATATTTATATAGCGTTCCAGAGCAAATATTTGTTTCCCATTGAATAACAGCACACAATAATCATAAATACTCACAGCATTTCTTCTCAGAGCCTCGCAGGTGCGAAGATTTGCTTTCTTGGCTGCAACTCCTGCCATTTACCTGTTCTGGGAATGGAACTGCATCTCCCAACATGGCTACAAGGCACACACCTCCTGACTTTTGGATCACCCGGCTCCTTCTAGAAAAACGTGGAACAAAAAAAGGAGTGTTATGAAATCCTCTGGCAGAAAGAAATAGCATGCACAGCAACCATCTGTCTGTGACGTTCCTGCTCCTTCCGCCAGCGACTGAAAGGGGGGGAGGAGAGGGAGAATGGGGGTGGGGGACAGAAACGGAAACCACATGGAAGTGGCTAGTCAAGGTCAAGCCAGGAAAGAAATTCTCAGTACGCTATAGTTTGCAAAAGAGGAGGTGAAGGAGAAAAGCAAGAAAGGTGTCTTCCACCTCCCCTCCCTCCCCTCAAGGAAGCTTTACAGTGAAGGGACAGCCGGATAATTGCATCCTATACAAAGGTCATCCTCCTTTATTTAGCACTTGCTTCCTTCTCCTCATTTTCTCTCTTGTCATTTATACATAAATCTAACCGCCAAGCACTCTTTTAAGCCAGAGGGCACTATCATGGCGAGCTCACACCATACCAGGAATTTCAGCACCTGTGCAACTAGGAATGTCAGCGAACACCGTTGCCCAGAGAAAAGCACCTGTCAGCCCAGGACAGAGGTTCGAGACGTCACGTTTCTTGGACCCCCGTTGTAGTTACCAAAGAAGTAACGTCCCCAAGTAACGTCTGGTCCAGCGGCAGCTGAAGGTTCCAAACCTGTCCTCCGAGCTTAGGAAACGACCTTTCCTTCCTCTCGACAACAAACGCAGAATAAACGCACCTCCAGAATCCAGGACGTCCCCGCCGCCTGGACAGGCAGCCCCCGCCTAGTGAGTGCGGGAGGGAAGCCGGTCGGTCGTTCCGTGAAGGAAAGGCGCTGCAGCGAGGCCAGGCTGCCTAGCAGGTAGGTGTTCAGGTGATGATGCCGTCCTCCCAGACCGAGAGCGAGAGGAGGAAGGGCGACGCGAATAGGGCAAGCGCAGCGCTACGAGGCAGGAGGTATGGATTTCCCAACTGACGCAGATCAACGCGGAAAGGGGAAGAAGAGCTGTTAGGGAATTGGAAACCAGATTTAAACCCAGGGCTGTCATAATTAAGTTTATATAGCGAGCCGATTTCCCAAGACTGCACGCGCGGGTGGAGAGGTCGCCCTACCCGCCAACGGTGTGGAAACAGGTATGCATGTATTACCAGTCGACTCTGTTTTTTGGGGTAAGAGATCTTACCGCGTCCAGAGAGTTCACAGAAATACTGTTCTTCAAATAGGGCTTGGGAAGCTATTAAGTGATGGGGAAATATGCAGAGGCAGAAAAGGATTGTATTATAATATATCCTTAGAACAGTAGGTGCAAACAACAGTTCAATGAATAGCCGTTCAACAAATTCAGGATGCGCAAAAAAGCTGGACCTATCTATGTCCGGATGTTAAGAAAACTAACTGCAAAAGGGGACAAAAATTTGATTCATTTCAAATGTGGGGTTGGAAAAGAGCTTTATGAATATTATGCGCACTAGGTTGACCAAGTGTACCTTAGATCAAACCAAAGCAGAATTATCCCTAGAAGCTAACGTGCCCGAACTGAAGCTATCATACTTTGGACATATGATGATAAGTCACTGAAGAAAAAAAATAAAGCTAAGTAATAGAAAGCGAGGAAGACCAAACATGGGATGATTTGACTCAATAAGAGCCTCCATCGTTTTCAGTTTGTAACACTTAATCATGATTGTTAGCGATCGGATCTTTTGCAGATCATTAACGCATAGGGTCGCCGTGCGGTGGAACAGACTTGACGCCACCTAATAACAAAGCCAAAGGAACAAGGCGAGGGCAGGCACCCAGCGATTCAAACGTCATTGCGCACCGCACAGACAGCCCATTGCCGCGCAAGCGCATTGAAATAATAGGCCCGGTATTGGCCAAGCGGATGTTTTTCCACCGATCTACCTTTGTGGACTCAATCGTGGAGCTGATTGGCTATGTTCCTGTAGCGTACGTAGGCGTGACGGGCAATCGACCAATGGGAAGGCCGAAGGCCGGGGTACGCGAGGGTTGCCGGGCTGCAGGTACTCTCAGCCATTTCGCGGTCGCGGGAGGGGGGCGGCCTTGAAACCCGGCCGCCGCCGCCGCCGCCGGGAGACATCTGGCTTCTCGGGCGGCAGGATGTTACGGTTGCGTTGTAAAGCGCGGAGCGGCTCCTTCCCGCTGCCCGGCCTCACGACACATTCCAGGCTGTGCGAGCTTCAGGCGGTGGTCGCCGCTCTCACCGGGGTGCCTGTCCAGGCCCAGCGCCTGCTGCTCGGGTTCCCCCCGCGCGGTGTCGACCTGAGCGACGGGGAGCAGTGTCTCGGCGAGCTGGGCATTCACTCGGGTAAGGAAGGAAGGGAGGGCCTTTGTAGGGGAAGGGAAGGCCTTCCTCGGCGAAGGGTCGGGGCCGGCAGGGACAAGGGCGGCCTGGAAATGCCTCCACGCCCTGCTGGGAGAATGGTGTCGCTTGTTTGTTTGTTTAATGTACTACTACTGCCTGATTAAGTAAATGCACACAACTCTTTCTCTCATTCTGTGTGTACACATATACACATGTATATCTTATTTGTTTTCGAAGCCAGATGCTCCGACATATATAAATATCTATTTGCTTATTTAACTTGTACACTGAATTAAGTTAAACAAACAAGCTGTCTGTCTCGTTTCGTTGTATGGTTCATATTCTGCTGTGGGTATCGTATTAGTCCAAGATAAGGAAATACATGAGGAGGAAGAATTTTGAAGTGAATGCCTTACGACATGATTTCTCCCTATCCTCCCCTTTGTAAGGGGAGGCCCTCGTCTCATTGTGTGACTTTAATACTTGTATCTATTAGACAGAGGCGGCTGTTAAAAAACGTACACATCGCAGTGAGGTACAGAAACTCTGAATGTATCCACGGACTAGGTGTTGGTTTCTTAATTTTTTGTACAACCCTGTAAGTGCAAAGCACTATTCTGGATGGTTTAATAGTCAGTGAATGTAACAATAAAACAAATAATAAAATAACAAACAGAACTGTAACAAATAAATAGAGCAAGCCAGATTAGTTGAAATAATAGAAGACAAGGGAGCCACAGCATTAACCCCTAATATCGCGTAAATTGCACATTCATGTATGGTTGCTCTCTGATACCTCTTTAAAAAGCAGTGTCTTGAGCAACCATCTGAATATCGGCAGGGAGGGGCCAAGTGCAGCTCAACTGGGAACCGGTTCTGTAGAGCTGATGCCACAACTGAGAAGGCTTGGCTTCTTTTAGACGTTTTCCTGGCCTCTTTTGGTGTGGCAACACAGAGGAGCATTGCCTGAGAGGATCTGGCGGTGCTGGTTGATGTTCTTTGAGCCAGATACTGACAAGTAATGGGCTCCCAAACTGTGAAGGGTTTTATAGGTAAGCATCAAAACCTTGTTCTCAGTCCTAAATTTGAACCAAAAGTGCAGCCCTTTCCTATAAAAAGCTTCTATTGATAATCATACTTATCCCTTTCTTAGATAAATTTGGTTAGCAGAAGGTACTGTATTTTATTATTGATAATGTTAAATACTTAGAGGTTGACAACTCTTACCAATCAATTGCAAATTACCCAGAGACTTACAGGTAGATCTTGTTCTACCTGTTTCTTCTCCTGTTCTAAAGCAGCATTTCTTAAACACTTAAATAAGGAATCAACTTGGGAGATGAAAGAAAATGTGTTTGATTTTTTCCCCTTCTACTGAGTGTACTTTTTATTTCTGTCTTTTTGTTTTCAAATTTGTATATAGTTTCCCTCCTCAGGGCAAAGTGATGAACAACTAAGCCTATATAAAGTATACTAAATGTAGAAGTTTCTTATAGGGTATGATTTTAATTTTGTACAGTGATATACTTAGATTAAGGAGGGTATGAAAATGAAAAGCAAAACTGACATAAGTGTAGAGAAATCAACAGAAGTTGCTTAAATAAGTAAGTTGATGAAAGATGGCTGTTCTGCCCTGCTTCTCCTGGCAAATTAATGACTGTTAAACCATCCACTATTCTGGATGGTTTAACAGTCAGTGAATGTAACAGTAAACCAACAATAGAATAACAAACACAACTGTAACAAATAAATAGAGCAAGTCAAATTAGTTGTAATAATAGAAGACAAGGAAGCCACAGCATTGACAACATTCTGACTGTGGATTTTAATGGTCTTCTCTCAGTGGTGTTAAAGAAATAACTTTCCTGCCCAGTCACATTCTCCATTCCAAGTAGCTTTTAAAAATTGGATTTACAATATTTCTTGAAAGGAACATCATATATTTTATGAAGCATCCCTAGAACACTGAACCCGTGTTTTCCTTATTCAAAAGAGGAAGTGTTAAAGCAGTGACACCTGTATTTTAGAATCTATGACTGCTGGAAATAATTAAAATGTTTGTTACCACTCATTAAGTATGTTTCAGAGTTTTGTTATCTCTGTGTGTAAAACATTGTCAACCTGTCCTTGCAGATTGCTTAGTCATGAGCTGTTAATGAGCTGATGTTTTTAAAGTAGATAAAAATATTGGGTATTTTCTTCTCAAAGTCAGGGATGTTTTATTGTTATTTAATGAACTAGAACTCATTAGATATATATGATCTTTTCTAAAATTAAATGTTATGTGACCTATATTAAGAATATGGTTCCAAAAGAAAACATACAGAAATTGTTGTCTGTAGCATTTGGATTGTTTCTAGAACACCTCGAAATAATTCAAATTTCACATTGCCTCTACCCACCAATGGCTTAGATGGATAATCAAATCTAAATTTTATCTGTATATCCATGAGAAATTTTGTTGTACTGAGAGTCAAAATTTTCTACACATCTCAGCAGTTGCAGCATAGATACATGTTAGGGGAGGGGGAGAAATGAGTTTGTATGAGATGAGATATCAAATACACTTTTTGTTTGTATTCTTAATTACTGAACTAAACCAATCTTCATCTCTTTGTTCTGTTCTTAACAGGTGACACTCTAATAGTGGAAGAAGACGCACCCAATCCGAAAACTGATTCATCTATAGTTACAAAACGGACTGCTCCTAATTCATTCAGGGAGGTGCTCCCTGTTCTTGCCCGGAAGGTTGTTCCAGCAGATAACTCATGCCTTTTTACCAGTGTTTACTATGTGGTAGAAGGTGGGGTTTATGACCCAGGATGTGCTCCAGAAATGAGGAATCTAATAGCCCAGATTGTAGCAAGTGATCCAGAATCTTATAGTGAGGCAGTACTAGGGAAGACTAACCAAGAATACTGTGAATGGATCAGAAGAGAAGATACATGGGGAGGTGCAATTGAGGTGTCTATCTTGTCTAAATTTTATCAGTGCGAAATATGTGTAGTGGACACACAAACAGTTAGAATTGATCGTTTTGGGGAAGATGCTGGCTACGCTAAACGGGTGCTTTTAATTTATGATGGTATTCACTATGATCCACTTGAGCATAAAATTCCCAACTCAGACATTCCTCCCCAAACAGTGTTTTCAACATCTGATGATGTTGTCCTTGCACAGGCTTTGGAGTTAGCAGATGAAGCCAGAAGAAAGAGACAGTTTACTGATGTGAACCGGTTTACATTGAGATGTGTGGTATGTCAGAAAGGATTAACGGGGCAGACGGAAGCCAGAGAACACGCCAAGGAGACGGGACATACCAACTTTGGAGAAGTGTGATTTTTCTGTGAGGTTGGGCATACCTACTACCTCACATATATAGAACAAGCCTCTCAATCCTCAAATAAGCTATATGTAATCGTAAGAAATCCATTCAGGATCTGAAAGCCCTAAACGTACCTAATTATGGCTGATATACAAAGGTTTGCTGTAGTTGGTGTGCAGCATTTACAAGAGTGTATGCGGTCATATATTTTCCAGCTAGTTTGGAGTTGTCTTTTGCATGTTTAAGAAGTAGGAGAACCATTGATGCCATCTCCCATATCGAGAATCTGAGTAGCTGATACCGGAATTCCTTTGACACAATTAAATATACAGACACTACCGTAGCTAGACTTTTATATAGGCTTTAAGAATCACTGATGGAATAAAAATCACAGCTCAGTTCCTGAGTTTCTGATTATAGAGTCTAGTAAATAATTATGTTGGCCTCCATTCAGATTTTGCAAAGTTATTTGTATTTCAGCCTTCTTTCAAAATATTTATGTTTACTTGTATAACTAAAAGCAGATCAGCCACACAGTTGCCTCTTTTATTCAGTAATCCCAAAGCAAATCACTGTTTAAAAGTGTTGTGTGTGAAATTAAGATGGTTATGGTAAAAGCCCTTAGCTGTCCTTCTCACCCCCATCATCTAAACATAGTAATGACCTGCTAACTGCTGTTTGACTTCCAGTGAAACAGATGCAAATCTTAAAATTATCCTTAAATGTGTATTTGCTTTGAGATTGGAGAGGTCTTGATTTTGTGCTATGGTGCCAGTTGGCATTGGTGCTTCTGTTGAATAAAGTTCCTGAGCTTGATATAGCACCACAAATAGACAACTTATTAGCTACAAATTTCTGGTTAATTGGGACCCTGATAACTTGTACTCTTATTTCACTCACTGATCCACAGGATGTAAGTGGCATAACCTTTAGCTGCTGAGGTTCCTGAATAGATTCTCACTGATATATTCTCTCTCTCTCTCTCTCTCTCTCTCTCTCTCTCTGTGTGTGTGTGTGTGTGTG